ATACCTAGACACAGGAGAACTATTGTCGTGAAAGTGTTGTACAGTCGATTACAAATTTAGATTGCAGAGAGTTTGTTCTGAGCGCTAAAAGCACTCACAATAGAGCACATTTTGCTTTATTCTAACACAGGAGTTGATCTGCCGCTGTTTCACATGGTCACCATCCTCCGGGACGCTGTTGACGTTCTGGAAGGTAACGCGAGTAGCTAGTGAAGAGCAACAGCGATGGTTGTCGCCAAGGCAGTCTACTCCTGCTGGAAGAGAACGTAAATATTTGTCAAGTGAAGCGTGGGAAACAACACTCGACGGGCCACTAATTCAAGATCTTCTGCCTGCACGCCGTGACCTAGCAGCAGGCGACCTGGGTCCTCTCATGACCCTGCCGCGGAGCGATCTGCTCCGCGGCCGGTCAAAGAGGAGGGCGGCTGAACCGATCCATCACTGGAGTTGCCAGAAGGGGATAGGAAGAAGGGATGGACTCCGCCAGGCGAAGCCACTGTCAATGAAGAGGTTTGGCTCTCATCCTGTGACACTGCTGTAGTAGTGTCGCCGTCCATCGGAGTTGCATCCACTTCTTGAATCTGCGACTCTGGCGGATTGATCTGAGTAGGCAGGGTCTGCTGCTGGAAGTGAATACCCCACTGAGAACGCGATTGCTTTGGTGGAGGCTTTCGATCATCCAAAGTGCGAGCCCTGTTAGCAGAAGTGTCGGACTTGCCTTTCTTCTTTTTTGGTGGCTTGGTAGGCTCCGGACAATCTGGTGAGACCTTGTGGTTGCTGGAGGATTGGGAGGAAATTGCCAAGTGGTTGGCCGTCTGGCGTTGAAGAGCATCGAGCTTAGCCTGTAAAGCAGCGGTAGCTGCTCTCTGTTAAGCTAAAGCTTCCTCTTTTGCAGCCAAAGCATTGTTGCGAGCTTCAATTTCAACAAAGGCATCCTCAAGTTGTCGTTCGCGCTGCTGCATCTCATCAAGCATTCCTGTAACTGTCTTTCTGTCATCGATGTCCTTAGCATTGGCCATATCCATGTCAATGGAGAGCTGACCCTGGTAAATATCCGTGGTATCCTCAATGACGTCATCCAGGAACTCCAAAGTTTCTTCCACCATGCTGCACCGGCAATGGCTCTCAAAGTATTGGTGCACCAAACCAAGTTCTTACGTTGAGCCAACTGAATTTCGGACTTAGGGATCCATTTGCCCATGGTCTGATCAGCTTGGACGATGGTAGGTTCATACAAGTGGTGGGTCAGAAACGGAACGATCCCTTTTAAAACGTTGCGCGCCAGCTGTCTGTATTTCTTCCGGCAGACAAAGATGTAGGTCCCCTCCATTTCCCCAGGGAGAATCATTGGGAAAAGTGGTCCAGCTTTGTGTCGGTCCAAATCATTCTTGAGCTTCCTATCTGTAGCCTCCGCTAGTTTTCGCTGGGCGGGAGACAAGTCTTTCAAAAAATGATTCTCAAGATCGTCCTGCTTCGACCTTGTCTTCTTCTTCTTCTTCACCTTCTTCGTTGCCGCCTTTGTGACCATAGTGTCTTCCTCCGATAAATGATCTTCATCGTCAGAAGAGTCCAATCCCGCCTTTCTTTTTGATGCTGCATTGTCCTGAGTTGCTGCTGAGGTCTGATCGGCTTGAGCGGGTGTGGCTTTGATGGAAAGCAATAACTTGAAAAGTGTGCAGGCGCCATAAAGAGTCGTCAAAGAGAACTTAAACATCCCTGTAAAATCAATGCCCGGGTAAAGGACCTCAGTCAAGATGTAGTTGTCTCAAAGTTTACTAATCAATGTCAAAATTGCATCCTTCACCGGGCCATAGGCCTTGACACTCAAATGTCCTTATTGTGCAGACTTCCAGTCGCTAATGTATGTAGCTGGTGCCGCGAATGGAAAGTCGGGTTTTGGCGTAGCCGGATGTAAGAGAGATCTCAATGTACGGTCCACTTGCTTAGAATGAATCTTCCGAGTATAAGAATGAGGACTTGTCACCCCCGGTGAGCGTTCATCATATTTGGCGCGACCAGTATACGGAATAGACACCCAGTCCATCTTGATGCCAATTGGAACCAAGAAATCAAAGAGCCGCATCAGCTCCTTAGCGTATGCAGAGAAATTAACTTTGGCCGGAATAAACAAGCAAGAACCGATCTTAACAATTTCACCATACTGAAGTGGTGTGCACAAGACCACCATAGTATTTAACTAATCGTGTTCGATATCGTTCATAAACAACTCCAATAATTACGAAAAGTGCACTTGCAACAAATCCGTGACTCAAACTTTGCAGTAAAGCTCCTTCTATACTAACATTGTTAAAACTAAAAGTACCTAACATTACACCATTCATGTGTGCAACAGATGTATATGCAATAATTCCTTTAAAATCTGTTTGCCTTATAGCAGCTAAAGATGCATAAACGATACTAATTAAAGACCTAGTATAAACAAGTGGGGCAAAATAAAATGAAGCTTGAGTTGTGACAGATAACATCCGGCTCCCCAGCCTTGATGTCGAAGTCCTGTGTGCAAGTAGTCTTGAACTGCCTCCGTCAAAACATCTGACGCAAAGCCGACCCGTAGCCTGGTACGCAACTTCTTCTCGCCCGGTTTACTGTTAGTGGCAGCGTAAGCACAGTTTCCGTAGTCCATATTGCAGTAGACCAAGAGAGCCCAATAATTTGGTAGTTTGTTACAAATGTCGGCCGACGATCGAATCCATAAGTTCTGCTGTTTATAAGTGCTGTCAGAACTTGGAAGGATCCTCAATTCATGAGGAGAATTATTGATCGCTTTCTCCAGAGAGTTCAAGACTGTCAAGAGATAATTCCCGCCAGATTCACTTGAGTCAGCCTGGAGAGTTTTTCCTCAACGGTTAGTGGCCGTTATAGGCGTGAGTTGGTTGTTGGCGAGAGGTTCTGAGAAGCCACGGGCGTAAATCGACCCCAAGGAATGACTTGAGTCAACACCAGGTTGGTATCCTCCCTTGCCATAGCGTCTGTCGAACCCTCCCTTTCTTCATCTTCTCCATCATCTTTCATCTGCACAAATGTATCATGCCCCATCATCATCTTCATCGTCATCGGAGGACAATAAGGGCCTAGGGTTGTGACAAACTCCTGTCACCTGCACCTCATCGTCTTCATTGTGATCCGGAGTCTCCCTTCCATCAACTGTCATTGGGTCCGCCTCCACATCCCCATCTTTAGAAGCCCCAGGGAGAAAGACAGTGGCTTTTTGCATTCTTTCTTGTGAATGCATAGGAAACCTTTTTTTCCAAAAGGTCCCACATCTCATCGGTAGTACGTTCCAATTGTGCTTCAGTCACTTCTTCGCTCGTGTTACTAGGCATTTCTAACCCATTGTTCTCGAGATACTTGAAAAATTTCTGCCATTCAACTCGCATCTGTGACTGGAGTGCTGTGGTTGGGAGGTCCTTTGGTCGTAGCTGGCGAAATGGTTTCACATAATTGTTGCCATACCTTATACCCTTGAGCCAGCATCGAAGCGCTTGGGGAAGGTTTGGCTTTGGAGGGAACTCAAAGTCTTCCGGAACGGACCAGAACCTTTCGGTGTAAAAGTATTTTCCTTGATCAGGCTTTTGAAGCAACAATCCACCCCCTTGCTGAACTTGATTTCCAGGTGGCGGAATCTGAGCTGGCTGACCACCTTGGAACTGAGGAGGCAGGCTCCTAAGCATTGCTTGCAAATGTTCGGTAAGTTGTTTATTTGTTGCGTCTTGGTGCTTTTGAATGATGTCATTGATACCTTTTGCAGTAATGTTGCCGTTCGAAATTGCATTCTGCTCTATTCCATGGTGAACAGCCGCAACAAGGTCTGCCTTCAATTGCTCGTCGCGCTGCTTCTGGTTGTCCTCACTGATTCTTGTTTGTGCAAGTAACTGTATTAAGTTGTCATGAATTGCCTTCATTTGGCAAGTTGTTTCAATGTGTGGCGGGACGCCAGTAACAGTGGTCATGACATCGGGAGTTGGTTCAACAGTGATAAGCTGTTGCAATGCGTCAATTTCTGATCCTCTCATGTTGTAGAATGGAACCTTGACAAGTTCGTTGCTTGGGTTATGGGCAATGTACTCCTGGAACGACTTGGCATGCCATACCATGCATGCTAGGCAACGCAACAACAAACCTGTAGGATCATAGTCCGCTTCACTATGTGTTTTTAAGATGGGACCAAAGTTGGCGTTCATGACTTCGCGGATCAGTGGGTGGCCCATCGGATTTGCCATTTTCCAATGTGGAGGTAAGGTCTTGAATGATGGTTTCATTGGATCCTTTCCTGATAGTATCTGGCCCAAGTAATGATCGCCAACTGGCAAAAATCTCCAGTATATGTCAAAGACGGAGCCCATTGACCAATCACCACGGTGTGCAATAGAAGAAAGGGACGGGGCACATGTGGTTCCTGAGCTTGCATAGCTTGCGGCTCCTTTCCGCAAACCGTAAGCATTGAAGTGCCCTTTTCGACAGTGAGAACTAACAATGTTTCTCCTTTCCTCAGTTTTATTCACAAGAGCTTTCAGCTGTTCTTGATATTTCTTTGCAGCACTGCCGTCCTTGGTATTCCACATGAAAAGTTTCTGAGTTTGTCCAAGCTCGTTTTTGTACAAGGCACAGTAGTTACCCATGGCTGTCCACTGGCACAAATAGTGATACTCATGATTTGCATAAATGTGTTTAGCAAAACATCTATCGCCATCTTTATCCTTTTTTGTAGTGTCATGTGTAACAGCATGTGCATCCAAAACAATTCTGAAGTTGCTGAATCCAAGGTAGTCAATGTTGCCACAACGGCTCATGCAGTTCCACTGGGTCTTTGTCCAAAAGTCTACCATTGTATTGCCATCTTCAGACGCCCACTTGCAAATTAACATGTAAAGCTCTTTTGTGATTGGGTCTGCCTCCTTTGTTTGGACATCCCCATTCCCCTTCCCAGCTGCAACCTGTCGCTTGTAGGAGAAAAGATAAAGATCCAATTTGTCCCAGCACTCTTGGGACAGTGCTTCGCCACGGATTTGGGCACCCCACTTGATAGCATCTCGAAACTTTTGCATGTCTGCCTTGGTGCGCAGATTGCCTGCTGCAGTTCTCTCTTGATCCATGAGAAACTTGAGAACATAATCTACGTTTAGACCTGCATAAATAAGATCATACTCGTACTTATCATAAAAGTACATTGCAGGATCATTCATTTCTGCAGATGTGTTTTTGCGAACACCAACTTCAAAGTATCTGAAGCACTTCTGTTGAAAATACTTTGTCATTCTTAGAATTCGATTGCGGTAGTCTCTCCTGGTCTTGTCCGTTTTTTCATGTGACAAAGTTTTTTGAAGTCTTTGCTTGAAGTCATGTCCAAGCTCGTCTTCAGCATTGGTGGCACCATCTCCCAGAATATGAGTCGTATTATTGACTGTTCTACTGTTCAGGTGCTTCTTCACGATACTGCTACCACTTCTGTTCATGTTTCGTTTAGTGTAGTGAGATGATGAAATCTGATGGGAAATCACAAATCAAACAACTTTGTGACATTTGCGCCATATCCTCCGTCTCACCCATGTGTCGGTTGGAGCATAGACCACTACAATCGTATAGACATACAGACAGTATATATTTTTATATACTTTTCCGCGAGTGACTAAAGGCGCTGAGCGTTTTTGTTTGATACCACATATGATAGACGAAGGTGGATCATTGTAGTAATTGTCATCAAATGTAGTCCCCCATGGATAATCAAACAATTCAGAGCAGATCAACCAAAAGCCAACCAACGGATTTTCGAGGCAAAGTCGTGGATCCGACTTGGCACCGTCAAAGAATTGATTGTTGTGCGGTTTTTCCTCGAATTCTTCAATGCCAAAAAATGAGAAAGGGTTCTGCAAAGACATTTGTATTGCAAGAACTTGAAGGGGCCAGACATCCTCAGCAACTTTATCTTCGATTGTGGAGAGATCGAACGAAGATATGAGGTATTGGGCCAGCCGAGCGTTATCAGAATTGAGACAATTAAATATCTGAATAAATCTCTCAGCATGTTGAAGTGCCCATAAAATTGTTGAACAAGGCATCGTATCGTAGGCATGGTGGATTCCATGCGCCAGGGTATTGTTCATCCCAGGCTGCAAATAAAGGATTGCCCGTTTGAATACGGTCCATTCTTTGCAACGCTTGATTGACCGCCTCTCCTGAATATAATTGCTTTATCCACCACTCAGAAAGTTTAGGCACCAATTTATCATAGTGATTGCCATGACGAGCATCCCGCTCAGCAATTTGTTGTGCCTCCATTTTGTCCGCTATTCGTAGAGCGTCTTGGTCTTTATCGAGTTGCTTGACGTCCACATCATTGGAACTGACAGGATTTTGTTTTTGGGTTGTTCCAAATCAATTTCCAGTCGTTTTTTCATCGCTTTTTTTCCCACAGAAGAGACCTTCGACTTTGCCACACCCTGCTTTTTTTTATTAGCCGAGGCAGCCTTCGGAGCTGGAGATTTGCCCATGTTCGAACCAGTGTTTTGCCCGTTTGTTGATGATAATTTCAAATTTTTCTACGTAAAATCAGTACTAGCGCTACGCGAGGCAGATTGGCTGGTTCTGCGTGTTTGCGTGTTGTTTTGTTTCTGATATTCTTTTTTCCATCATCTACTCACAGCTGCTTCAGACCCCCGTAAATACACCCCAATAGCAATATCAATCACTGTCTATCAGGCAGACATACCTGAGACTGGTTGGCTTGCTGACTGAAGCCGACAATACTAGCAATTTGTACGTGCGCGTTAGGCGTACGTTGAGCGATAGTTTGCTTGGATGTTTTCACATCAACACAATTAATTTTAAGGCATCAAGGTTCTACGACTTATTCTTGTTGTCAATGCACATCCTTTAAACAGTTTGTCAGACCCATCACTCTACGATTCTGTTATGATGCTACTACAGCTACGACTAATGCTCTGTATAACGCATTTCCCTTTGAAGTCAATGCCTGAAACGATAAGACGCTTTGATTTGCTGAAATGAGCCAAAATGAGCCAAAGACGGTTGAATTTTCCAAGAAGGTGACCAAGACAAAAGGCTGAAGAAAATCTACTGCAGTCAGTGCTTTACGGCCTCTTCCAACAAGTCTATGCCAACACCTCCATCCTGGCGTCTGACACGTGGGCAAAGCGGACCTGGAGTGAACTCGACTCTCTCTCCATCCACCTGGAGTTTGATTCCCCTTCTCTTCAGCCACTACGCCAAGGAGACCAACTGTTAGTCGACCTGTTCATCGATTCTTTGGTGGGCCAACTTACTTTGAAATGGCTCAACTGGTGTCGGATCTTCCTGCACGCAGTCACTCTTTCTGATATTGTGAATGCTGAAGGGACAGCAATTACTCTGAAAGCATGGAAAGGGCTAAGAGCGGATAGCTGTTCTGATCGGTACCAATGGCCCCGCACTGCTCGTCCGTCTAACCAATGGTGGACTGCATGGCAACAATGGATCTCTACTCATCTGACCGGCCACTCCAACCGACGCCGTCTCAGTTCTCCGTTAGGCCCGTGGCATTCCGTTGACTTGTCCTGGAAGTGGCAATACTCCCCCTCTACCAATACCCTGTTCCACCGTGAGGGTCAACTATGGATCCCTTCCGTTCCTCTTGCCTCCACCAGCCGTCAGCGCACCTTCTACTTGCCTCGTCGCTTCAACCCTGATCTCCCACCTCTACCAGTGGATGCTGTCCGCGCCTCGGTCTCTGTCTTCCCTAGCCGTTCCCCGATCCACAAGAGCCGGGTCCTCCTCCACTCTACGGGCCCTCACCTACCAGCCGAACCACCTGCCCCCCCATCTTTCATCCTTGACCTCTGGCATCACTTCCGCAGCCTGGCTGACTCAGGTTCTCACGGCTGGGTTCCAGAGGTCATTACCATTGAAGGTGGTGAGGACCGCCTGGTTCAGACCCTTCGCGCCGGTACCCTTCGTGCTGTGAGCGACGGCTCTTACAAAGTTAAAGTGGGCACAGCATGCGCTCAAATTCTCACTGAGGACCGCAGGGATATCATCTGGATCACATGCCAAACCCCTGGGAAATTTGATGACCAGAGTTCAACGCGCAGCGAATTGATTGGCCTTATGGCCTCTCTCCTGGTGTTGGACTGGATGTCTCAGGTCGCCCACCTGAAACTCTTTGCCAGCCAACCGTCGGTTGAGATGGCCTGCGACGGGCTCATAGCTCTTGATAAGTCCTTCTCCAAATTCCACCTGTCATCGTCTGGTGCCCAATTCGACCTGGCCTCAACCATCCGGGCCTTGCTTCGCCACCTTCCCCTCCAAGTTCATCGGCGCCAAGAACAATTGGCTTCTTACCTGCTACACAATCATGCCCACCATCACCTTCAAAAAACTCAAAAAACAAAATAAAAATACGCCGCCCCAAGTGGCAAGATCGTTTCTACATGTGCAAGGGTGCAATGTAATATCCGATGAGAGCAACTTCCCTGGGATTGGATGCCTCACACTGGTTCAACAGTACTGGACTCACCTCCGTATGGTAAATGGCCATGACAGCCATTAACGGCAATCTAGAAACTTGAGATAGTTTTAATACAATTAATGCATCAGTTATATATATATGACTGGAAACTCACTCAGCATGCGATTGACATAATCATCCATGCGAATTTTCATTTTTTCACTCAAAGTATACCTAGACACAGGAGAACTATTGTCGTGAAAGTGTTGTACAGTCGATTACGAATTTAGATTGCAGAGAGTTTGTTCTGAGCGCTAAAAGCACTCACGATAGAGCACATTTTGCTTTATTCTAACACCCAGGGCATTAGGGCGCAAGAACAATTGGCTTCTTACCTGCTACACAATCATGCCCACCATCACCTTCAAAAAACTCAAAAAACAAAATAAAAATACGCCGCCCCGAGTGGCAAGATCGTTTCTACATGTGCAAGGGTGCAATGTAATATCCGATGAGAGCAACTTCCCTGGGATTGGATGCCTCACACTGGTTCAACAGTACTGGACTCACCTCCGTATGGTAAATGGCCATGACAGCCATTAACGGCAATCTAGAAACTTGAGATAGTTTTAATACAATTAATGCATCAGTTATATATATATGACTGGAAACTCACTCAGCATGCGATTGACATAATCATCCATGCGAATTTTCATTTTTTCACTCAAAGTATACCTAGACACAGGAGAACTATTGTCGTGAAAGTGTTGTACAGTCGATTACGAATTTAGATTGCAGAGAGTTTGTTCTGAGCGCTAAAAGCACTCACGATAGAGCACATTTTGCTTTATTCTAACACCCAGGGCATTAGGGCGCAAGAACAATTGGCTTCTTACCTGCTACACAATCATGCCCACCATCACCTTCAAAAAACTCAAAAAACAAAATAAAAATACGCCGCCCCGAGTGGCAAGATCGTTTCTACATGTGCAAGGGTGCAATGTAATATCCGATGAGAGCAACTTCCCTGGGATTGGATGCCTCACACTGGTTCAACAGTACTGGACTCACCTCCGTATGGTAAATGGCCATGACAGCCATTAACGGCAATCTAGAAACTTGAGATAGTTTTAATACAATTAATGCATCAGTTATATATATATGACTGGAAACTCACTCAGCATGCGATTGACATAATCATCCATGCGAATTTTCATTTTTTCACTCAAAGTATACCTAGACACAGGAGAACTATTGTCGTGAAAGTGTTGTACAGTCGATTACGAATTTAGATTGCAGAGAGTTTGTTCTGAGCGCTAAAAGCACTCACGATAGAGCACATTTTGCTTTATTCTAACACCCAGGGCATTAGGGCGCAAGAACAATTGGCTTCTTACCTGCTACACAATCATGCCCACCATCACCTTCAAAAAACTCAAAAAACAAAATAAAAATACGCCGCCCCGAGTGGCAAGATCGTTTCTACATGTGCAAGGGTGCAATGTAATATCCGATGAGAGCAACTTCCTTGGGATTGGATGCCTCACACTGGTTCAACAGTACTGGACTCACCTCCGTATGGTAAATGGCCATGACAGCCGTTAACGGCAATCTAGAAACTTGAGATAGTTTTAATACGATTAATGCATCAGTTATAATAATAACATTGACTTGGTGACCCCAGGTGAGTTGATCTGACAAGTCTTCCGAACTATGCTTGACCTGAAGATCATCTTCCCAATTCTGACGGCGGAGATGTCGATGCTTGGTACCAACCAGAGCTTCTGCTATCAGAGATTGAAGATGATCCTGCAATGACTATGTGCGCAATATTATATTTGAGAACTGATGAATGGACATTGAGAAATGAGTTCGTTCTAGAGGAGGCTAACAATGACGAAGACCAAAATACCAATCCTTCAATGTCAACCTTGCCTTGATCTCAAGTATTCTGTGTGAGCGCACGTTGAGTAATTGTCTTACTACTTGCCAAGAAGGTTCATCACAGATGGCGTCATTGGATACAGTACACACCGATAATGCTAATGATGATATCTTTCTACCTGAGATATGGTGGAAAATGAATTGTACTTCTTTGAGGCACTAGTGAGTGGAAATGAGATGTTTCACCAAGTGGACAACATTGGCCGATGAAATCAAGCATGTTGATCCTGGTGAAGCAATGGCCTCTGCAATGTACACGAAACTGTTTAGAGGAGTCCAAGCTGCTCGCCTTGAGAAAATATGGTACTTAGATCTCCTAACAGTGGAACGGACGTTGCAAGCAACCAAAACAGAAGCGACGCCTCCAAAATGGCCCGCAACTTTGGTACAGATGAAATGGTACAAATGATCAAATGATCCAGTGCAAGAAGATCAACCAGTACTTCTTTATGGATGCCTTCTTTACTGCTAAGGAAGATGACCGATCTACCAGAGGTAACATCAGTTGCCAGCTCTTTGTGACCAATAAGAGCTACATGTATGTGCTGCTGTGCTTTTGCGCAACAGGAAAGATGTGGTTTCGGCAGTCAAACGTATGCACCAGAAGTGGGAACTCCTGAAGCAATTATCTGTGACATTGCCGGTGAACACGCATCTAATGGAACTCAAAAAAATCTGGTAAAGCATTGGGACCACACTTGCATCCTTGAGCAGGGAATACCATGGTAAAGCAACCATGCTGAGCTCTGTGTTGGAGTATTAAAGGAGACAGACCAACTGTCCCTTGGTTTTCTGGGAGTACTGTCATGAACGTTATGCATTCTTATTACTATATATGGTGATGCGCGATGGACAGCGAGGCTGCCTTCCCCTCAAATGAAAAAGGAAGTACTTGGATCCTACCCGTGTCTGAAAAGGCGGAAGGAGACAAGATGTGTCAATGGTTTTGTTTGGAATCAAATGATAAAGTCGTCCCACAACAAACAGTCCGCCCTCATCTCAAGAATTCTGGAGAGCTTCATTCTGAAATGGAAAGCAACAACTGTAAGCTGATTGACTACTGTTATGCCATTGCGCTTGATTGCATATCTAGAATCAGCAAAATGACAATGAAGACGACATTGATGCTGGTGAACGCCTCATCACTTAGCAGCCATATGTACAATGGATGATGAGCTTTTCACTGGGACAAACAATGAGTCAGCACTAGCTGCAGAAAGAAACCTGTTACGATCCCAGTCCAGCATTGAATACTACAGTACACTCATGTAAAAGGTTGAATTTGACAATGGAATGGTTGGGATTATGGAGCAAGTTCCAAAATGATGATCTGCTACAAATGTGTCCTATCTACTAAAGCAGATTGTGAAATGAAAGAGGAGGCCGTTGGACCTCCGGAAAATGTATGTTGGCAGCACTATCATCCGAAAGGTTGAATTGGACACTGGTGTTAAGTGTTGAGCTTTTGGCTCTTTGTAATACGTCCATGCCGCTGTCAGTGATGTTGGGAAGTTCCTCGATGATTGTTGCAAGGCATGAGATATAAAACTCAAAAATCAAAAATCAAAAACTAAAAGGTTGAAAATATTTTTCCACGCACAGCACCAAAACAGAACTGTACCAGTCCTACGCGTTTTCTACGTAAAGGAAAACAGTTGTTGTTGCTGAAACAGGAA